GGAGACTAGAGGCGACTCTCCGAGGAGCCCGGTGGCTTTCCCAGCCCGAGAGACCCAACTCCTGAGCGGGCTCTTCAGGAGGAATTGACAACATGGCTTCCCCACCGCACCAGCAGCTGCTGCATCACCACAGCACCGAGGTGAGCTGCGACTCCAGCGGGGACAGCAACAGCGTGACGGTGAAAATCAACCCCAAGCAGCACCAGAGCTGCTCCTCTTCCAAGCACTGCAAGTACAGCATCTCCTCCAGCTGCAGCTCGGGCGAGTCGGGGGGCACCCGCCGAGCCGGCGGAGGTGGCGGCAGCGGCCCCGGCCTCCGCCGGCAGAAGAAGCTGCCGCAGCTCTTCGAGAGGGCCTCTTCCAAGTGGTGGAATCCCAAGTTCGACTCCAACAACCTGGAGGAGGCTTGCATGGAGAGATGCTTCCCGCAGACCCAGCGCAGGTTTCGCTATGCCCTCTTCTACATCGGCGTGGCCTGCCTTCTCTGGGGCATCTACTTTGGCATACACATGAGAGAGAAACGGATTGTTTTCATGGTGCCGGCTCTGTGCTTCCTCTTGGTATGTGTAGCGTTTTTTGTGTTCACTTTCACTAAGACTTACGCCCGCCATTACGTATGGACTTCGCTGATACTCACCCTCCTGGTTTTTGCTTTGACTCTCGCTCCGCAGTTCCAGGCTCTGAAACCTATCTCAGGAAGCGGTGACATGTCCAATCAGACTTCCCCGGCAGATCCCACAGACACTTGTCTTTCTCAAGTAGGCAGTTTTTCTATGTGTATTGAAGTGCTCTTGTTGCTTTACACGGTGATGCACTTACCCTTGTATTTAAGCTTGTTTCTGGGACTGTCGTACTCGGTCCTCTTTGAGACCTTCGGTTATCACTTCCGCGATGAGAACTGTTTTACGCCTCTCGGAGCCGGTGCAGTTTACTGGGAGCTGTTGAGTAAAGCCTTCCTGCACGTCTGCATCCACGCCATCGGTATTCATTTATTTATCATGTCCGAAGTCAGATCGAGAAGCACATTCCTGAAAGTGGGGCAATCCATCATGCATGGAAAAGACTTGGAAGTGGAAAAAGCCCTGAAAGAGAGGATGATTCATTCTGTTATGCCAAGAATAATAGCCGATGACTTAATGAAGCAGGGGGATGATGAAAGTGAAAACTCCGTCAAACGTCATTCCACCTCAAGCCCCAAAAACAGGAAGAAGAAGCCCTCCATACAGAAAACCCCCATAATATTCCGTCCTTTTAAAATGCAGCAGATAGAGCAAGTGAGCATTTTGTTCGCAGATATTGTTGGCTTCACGAAAATGAGCGCAAATAAATCTGCCCACGCTCTGGTGGGACTCCTGAACGACCTCTTTGGACGTTTCGACCGTCTGTGCGAGGACACTAAATGCGAGAAGATAAGCACTTTGGGAGACTGTTACTACTGTGTAGCTGGCTGCCCAGAGCCCCGGGCAGATCACGCTTACTGCTGCATCGAGATGGGCTTAGGTATGATTAAAGCCATTGAGCAGTTTTGCCAAGAGAAAAAAGAAATGGTGAACATGAGAGTCGGTGTTCATACTGGGACAGTCCTGTGTGGCATTTTGGGAATGAGGAGATTCAAGTTCGATGTGTGGTCCAATGATGTCAATTTGGCCAATCTGATGGAGCAGCTCGGGGTGGCTGGAAAAGTCCACATTTCAGAAGCTACTGCGAAATACTTGGATGATCGTTATGAGATGGAGGATGGAAAGGTGACTGAGCGTGTTGGTCAGAGCGTGGTAGCTGACCAGTTAAAAGGTATGTGCTTTTAATTTGTGCTCAGTCTTTTATTTATTTTTTTTCTTTTATGAGGGAATATATTTTCCCTAGTGCGTGTTCTGTGCTTGCTGACTTGCAAATTGAACGTGTTTTACATTTAACTCCGCGTGTTGGTGATCAGAAACACCATGGGAATTACGGAATAAAAGATGCCACGGAGATAAGCATGAAAGATCTTCTGGGGTGCTCAAAATGTACTTAGACTTCAAAACTCCTTGGCGCTTCTTGTGAGAGTATCACATCATAGGGAGGAGAAGGTTAATGTGTTTGCTGTCTGCAAGAGGTTTTTGTTTTACTGTTGTGTGTCATCCTTTAATTCAGTAAGTAAACTTGTTAATTGACTTCATGTGCCATACATAGAGCATATGTGTTTTGCAAAATTATGTATATCTGTGAAAAGTTTTTTTTGGCATTGGGAGAGTTGGGACTGCGAAGGCATTTGGGAAAAATGACAGCTGGATTCACAGAAAGAAATGAGCACTGTAGATTTGGCAGTTTGATACAGCAAGTTGTTACAGTTTGAAGTTAGGCTGGAAAAAGTTACTCAGGTGGTTCAGTGAGCTGGCAGATGCTCTCGTTTCTGCAGCTCTAAGGATTTGGGGATGAAACTGCAAATTTGCCTTTCGGAAAAGAAAATGAGGGATCCTTTGGTTCCCCTTACGGCTTGGCTAAGGGTCCGATTTTCAGTTTTCTGCAGAGTATTCATTTTGAAATGAAACCCTTGACTGCTTTCTAGCAGCGCTTAGAAGCGCGTGCAGGAGGATTGTACCTGCTGAGGGTTTAATTGTCTCTTTAGTAAAAGCTGTGTCTCTAGTGCCGTGCCTTTGTCTCGTGGAGGTATGGTTGTCTGCAGTGCCTGTAACCCAAGGTGGGGAGCAGACGAATCAAAATGGGAGTGGAATATGTTGCAAACCCTTTTATGCTATGTGAGTTTATTCGTTCCGTGTACAAATGTACCCATTTTTATAAAGTAAGCGTGGAAAATGGAGTGGAAGAAACTGAAGGAGTCACAGGACAACGTTGTGATGGAGGAAGGAGGTGTTTGTTGCAACAAATACAAAACGAGGCCAGGCTGGTTGTGGAAAGGTCAGTGAGTAAGGACGGGGGGAGAGTATTGCAAAACAGCAGTGGAAGCGGTAATGGCAGGCCGCTCGCCTGTGGCAGGTGCTTATTTTGATGTGACACAAATACTTATTTTTGGTGAGCTAGCTGTCCGCATGCATATGGCAACAGGGCTGAAATGAGAGGCTTACGGGGAGGAAAAATATCGACAGTGACATTGGTGGCTGGAAGCCATAGAACTGAAGCAGATGTGTGTCCCTGGGCTTTGGCTTTTCTGTTTAGCTTCTAAAAATACAAGTTCAGTTAATTTCTTTGAAAACTGTTGACACTGATGTCTTTCAGTGGAAGTGTGCTTTCAAGAAGAAAAGGATCAGACATAATCTCTCCGTTACTCTAAGCTGAATCTGGCTGTTCTGGTGAAAATAAATTGAATAGGTTGTTGAGAAACAACCCTGCAATATTTCCCTCTTCCATCTACCTTTACAGCCAGATGCAGTGTGAAGGCCGTGTTGTAGCAACAAATGAAATCAAGTATTTTTGCTAAATTTATAACTGTACTCGATACCATAAATCACAAAATGACATGAGCTTACTTGTGGAGACTGATGGTACTGCTCTTAAATATTTTTATTTATTTGTTTATATTTTCTAGGAGATCACAAGAGCACCGTGTAGAGCGATTATACCCCATGCCAGGAGTGTTTTTTTCATGGTCTTTCTCAGAGTTATGTTCTGTCCTTGGTTACATTTAGTGCGAGAGGGCATAGGCTGCTGTGTCTCGTCAGTACAGTGGTTCGGATTTTGCAGCTTTGAATGCCTTTCACAGGTCCTGCCTTAGCCAGGGCACTAGGACGAACAAACTGAAATGCAGTCTAGATAAGATGAAGTATGCTTTGTGGACTGATATTTTGATGGTCTCTTCTTACCCTGAAACCTAGCTATGAAAGCAACTGGAGCATGTGGTAAGAATTACTTTAACAAGGAATATGGGTTGGGTTGGGTTCCCCCCCCCCTTTCCCTCCCCCCCCCCCCCCCCCGTCAGTACAGTGGTTCGGATTTTGCAGCTTTGAATGCCTTTCACAGGTCCTGCCTTAGCCAGGGCACTAGGACGAACAAACTGAAATGCAGTCTAGATAAGATGAAGTATGCTTTGTGGACTGATATTTTGATGGTCTCTTCTTACCCTGAAACCTAGCTATGAAAGCAACTGGAGCATGTGGTAAGAATTACTTTAACAAGGAATATGGGTTGGGTTGGGTTCCCCCCCCCCTTTCCCTTCTGTATTTTGTTGTGGAACTGTAATTAGCTTCCATTTCTTATCAATGCCTTATATAGTTATAGAAATGAGAGCCTGTGTGTACTTTTAAACCAAGCAGACCTCTGCCATGACCACCTTTATCCACAGGTCTGTGGCACACGTAGTTCCTTTCCCTCCTGTGCCCATACCCTCGGGGCACGTGGTGGGTGCTACAGAGCTGCCCATTTCTTCCTGTTTCCTCAGTGCTTTAGGTAAATGGCATCAGGAAAAAAAAAACAGAATAGGCAATGATAAAAGCAATCTAACAGCAGTGGCACAGGCTGGTGTCTAGAACCTGCTGCAGGGGAGGGTTTTGTTAAGGAGCAGCTCTGAGATTTAATAGAGTAAACTGAGATTTCACCTCTTAATTAATTGTCCTCTGCCAAGCATCTGCTCAGTTTTGTGAACGGAGGTGCTGTTAGGAAGCTTTGCTTTACTATTTTCCCTGAGAATTCATTGATAGTAGTGATAGAGAAGAGGAAGCTTGTTGTGGTTGTTTAATTATGTCATACGTCGTAGTCTTTTCAAGCATGAAAGTGCTGCGTAGATAACAGACATAAGCTTTGTTTCCCTACCGGTACTTCACTTCTCAGCTTCCTTTCAACCTTTGGGTATCTTAATGATATCCTATTTTTTATGTTGTATGTCTAATAAATTATCTCTTAATTGTCTGAGCTGCCACGGTAGTTGTAGCTCTCTTTCTGAGGCTAAGTCAACATAATCAAGTAAACTCTTTCTAGAGCAAAATGGGAGGTGCTTGAGGACTCGGTGTCCACATTATGCATATTTCAGGACTTCTACCTAAGACTAGTTCTGGACTGGGTCTTTGAACAACAGTACCTCTGTGGTTGGAGCACATCAAGCCATGCTCCTGGAGCGAGTCTTTTGGCTCGGTTCACCCAGAGGAATCCAGGTACAACTCCACAGTTGCACCAAAGCAAGGTACATAGGAGTGAATTGGGTAAACAGCTTCAAAACTGTGCTCCCCATTCCATTTGAAATACTAATGTAGATGTACCCTGAGTTGTCCTAGTGCTGCTCTCCTTGTTTTTTGGAATAGACGAGGCAAAACTAAATTTCTCTTTCCCTGTGCTGTTTTGTGGTTCACTGAAATCTTAGGATGGAAATATCTCTTCTTCCTCCTTTGGTTCCTTGGCTCCTTATTGCAAGAAGTGGGGCCCTCGTATGTTCCCTCCTGGTTCTGACTTCTGAATTAAGTAGATGGTGTCTAAAACAAACCAACAGAGTGAGCCATTGATGACCTTACAAGGTTTTTGCCTGTTTCTGACTGCTGTTTGTTTTAAGATTGCTTAGGCCATCTGTTTTCACAGCACCTGATCCCCTTGGATGTGAGAGGAGCGCAGGAGAGCAATGTTGCGGTGATTTTTTGAGGTCTGCAGATAAACCCTAGACATCAGTTCAATGATACCTTCCATAATAATTTTGCTGTAGGATTTGAGACAATTCCCCTTTTCTGTTTTCTTGCTGAGCTTCCTAGCAAATAAATTTATTGAAGACTATGAGATACTGAGAGGCACATAATACACGTTAATGTGTCCCTTCTGAACTCTGGAGTCAGAGATCTCTTCTCACGATATAAAAAGTTCTGCTTATGGAAATATTTTTGTTTTGCTCTGTTCTTCTTGGTTGTTTGCATTTCTCTTTCTTGTTACTTAGGAGGTCACAATATTGCTATTTGCCAGCCAGCAACTCTTCCAGAAATACCAGGGTCACCGGCATCTTTTTTTGAGCGCTCAAAATACGTAAGCGTGTTGGGGCAAGAATGCTTTCTCTATGTTTATAGAGCATAGCACAGCAGAACCGTGATTTCATTTGGGGCATTTGTGTGTATGCTGATACTCCAATAAGAGTTGTTGTTGTTGAAGTTCCTGTTAAAATCATTCCCAAACTTTCTGCAGCAAGAGACGTCCTTGTTCAGTTTGCCTCAGGAATGGCTTTATTGCTGAATTTCTGTTAGAAGCCCTTGAAGAGAGACACACACTTTTCTCTCCGATTTTGTCATTTGCTTCGTCATGGAAAAAACGTAAGTGGATCTTGTGCACTCTGTCACCTGGCTAACCCAACCGAGTCGTTGATGGCTTCCGAGGGAAGGTCAGCCTTCACAGCGCTTACTGCGTGAAAATCCACCAGTTCAACTGTGGCAACTGGTGGCCGTTTCTGATAAAGCATATCAAAGATCTGCAGCTTACTGTATTGTCCTTCACTGTTGTCCATGTTTCTTTTAATAGCTGCTTTACTTTTAAACATTTTTTAAATAAAGCAAATCAGTTATAAAAGTCACCATTTTGCTCGATATTGAAACCTTTTAATGTAATTTAAGGCTATTATTTCTTCATAAATAGCCTAGCTTTTTACATGGTGGCAACCAGTGACCGACGGGACGCTTTTCCCTTGGCAGACCACGGGATACAGCTCTGCCTGGTGACTTGATACTCTGCTGCTTCTTCAGGTTTGGGTTACAGGGAACGCAGTGCGGGTGCTCCTGAAAGACAAAAGTCTCGGATAAGGTTATGAAGAGATAAGTCATTGAACTTTTCTTCCCTTCCTCCCCTCTGCGGCCCATCAGGGGGAGACCACTGCCATCAAGGTGTAATCCTGA